AAGCCATTGTATTCTCTCCATCTCTCCTCCATTCCTCACCTCACCTTCCACACCCAATCCTGAACCAGCCAGTCTCCTTCTGCCACGTGTCACCCCATATCCAAATCTCCTCCTTGTCATTCTTCCATCCCTCTTTTCTTCACCAACATCACAGCTTCCTCATCAACAATTCCACTGTCCTTCCTTCCCTTCTCTTCTCTTCCAATATGCAAATGGAAATATCCCTTTTCTTCTTAACTAAAAACAAAATATTTATAAAAAAACGAACAATACGTGCCTACACACGCACCGCTCTGATAGATCTCCTACTCGTTTTCCAATACGCTCCACGGGTCGATTCCAGTTGCATTAAGCGGATAAGTAAACCTCTTTGAAGTTTGTAGCCACTAAAAAAGTACTACGCCAGTCAGTAACCAGTTCTTACTTCTCTCGGGAATAAAAAGAATGAAACACTTCCATACAGATAATTCGTGGCTCGTTTAAATCTCCTTTCTCTCTTCTCCATTCTCAGCCTCCTATTTCAATCTGTGCTCCAAATTAAGCCTTGAAAAACATATAAGAAAAGTGCCAAAACCCACCCCTCATTTCAGAAGATAAGGAAGAAGAAGAAATCATACACCAAATTCTTCTTCCTTACTACCTCAACAACTGAAAAGCAAAGGAAAACAAAAGAATGGCTGTCTGTACATTAAACTCATCCTTCCTGGGCTTCCACCAGAAGAGCCACCAGCCGCCGCAGCAGCTGGTTTTCTTGAGTGGAAAGAGGTGGGGGAGCAGCAAAAGGGAGAGACACAGCAGCTTGAGCAACACCGCCTGTGTCATAACCTGCTCAGCTGGTGGCCAGCAGACCGTGGTGATCGGTCTAGCAGCTGACTCAGGGTGTGGGAAAAGCACATTCATGAGGAGGCTAACGAGCGTTTTTGGAGGGGCAGCTGAGCCACCAAAGGGCGGCAATCCAGACTCAAACACACTCATCAGTGACACAACCACCGTGATATGCTTAGATGACTACCACTCATTAGACAGAACAGGAAGAAAAGAAAAGGGAGTCACAGCGCTTGATCCAAAAGCCAATGATTTTGACCTCATGTATGAACAAGTTAAGGCTCTTAAAAATGGTGTCCCTGTTGATAAGCCCATTTATAATCATGTCAGTGGCCTTCTTGACCCTCCTGAGCTCATTAAGCCGCCTAAAATCCTTGTCATTGAAGGCTTACACCCCATGTAAGTGTCTATATCTCTGTGTATTTTGGTGTCTTTTGGTGTCTTTTAAGAACAAGGCCTAATCTTTCCCTTTTCCCCTAATAGGTATGATTCAAGAGTAAGAGACCTGCTGGACTTCAGTATCTACTTGGATATCAGCAATGAAGTTAAATTTGCTTGGAAAATTCAGGTTCCTACTCTAAATGAGTATCTCTTTTTGCTTAATTCTATTTGTTCACAACCTAACTGAATCAAATACTTTTACAGAGGGACATGGCTGAGAGAGGACACAGCCTCGAGAGCATCAAAGCGAGTATCGAAGCTCGAAAACCCGACTTTGATGCCTATATCGGTGAGATTTTAAGGCACTTTTGTAGTATCAAGTGTTGTTTATGGCTATAAATACGTAAAAGAGTGTTAAGAATGAGAAACAAAAGTGGGATCGAAGTTACGATCTTCATTAATGTTCACAGTGTTTAAATAGGATACAAGCTACCAAAAAATATACTACCAACCAATTCCGAGAAAATATACTACCTAAAAATAAGAGGAAAAAAAATACTAACCGATTACAATCCCACATCGGTCGGAGAGGGGAACGAAGCTTTCCTTATAAAGGTGTGGAAACCTCTTACTAGCAAACGTGTTTTAAAACCTTGAAGCCCAAAAAGGACAATATCTGCTAGCGGTGGACTTGAGTTGTTACAAATAGTACCAGAGCCAGGTTATCGGACAGTGTGAGACACTGGTCGGAGTAGGGCTAGACTCTCTCCATAGTAGACGCGTTTTAAAACCTTGAGGGAAAGCCCAGAAGGGAAAGTTCAAAGAGGACAATATCTGCTAGCGGTAGGCTTGGGCTGTTACAAACGGTATCAGAGCCAGGTTACCAGACAGTGTGAGACACTGGTAGGAGTAGAGATAGACTCTCTCCATAGTAGACGCGTTTTAAAACCTTGAGGGAAAGTTCAAAGAGGACAATATCTGCTAGCGGTGAGATTGGGCTGTTACAAATGGTATTAGAGCCAGGTTACCGGACGGTGCAAGACACTGGTCGAAGTAGGGCTAGACTCTCTCCATAGTAGACGCATTTTAAAACCTTGGGAAAAACGCATAAATGAAAGCCCAAAAAAGACAATATCTCCTAGCGGTGACTTAGGCAGTTACAATTACAGGTATATAAAATATATTCTTTAACTAATTACAGTTATAGAACAAAATATATGCCACAAATATATCTTAAATCAAAATTCATAATAAGGAGTGATGTTTATATGAATTTGCAGACCCACAGAAGCAGTATGCAGATGCAGTGATAGAAGTGCTACCAACAAATCTGATTCCAGATGATAATGAAGGGAAAGTTCTGAGAGTTAGGCTGATAATGAAGGAAGGGGTTGAGTTTTTTAACCCAGTTTATTTGTTTGATGAAGGCTCCACAGTTTCATGGATACCTTGTGGAAGAAAGCTCACTTGTTCTTACCCTGGCATCAAGTTCTCCTATGGCCCTGAATCTTACTATGGCCATGAGGTAATCACTACAACTCGTTCGGGATGTTTTCGTTTCTTGTTTCTTGTTTTTATCTTGGAAAAGATTTTCAAAACCGTTCGTGAAGTTCTTAAGATCGTGTTCGACTAACTTTTGGACACTTTTTTGAAACTTTAGAATTTATAAGATCAGGGATATAGATATGAGATATAAATCAACAAGACATGGACATAGTGATAGTCTTTCTTTTACAAATTTAGGCACGTACAAAGGAAGAACACGTTCATTAAAATGTATATCATTATTTGTGAGATCCCATGTCGGTTGAAAACCTCTCCCTAGTAGACATGTTTTAAAACTGTAAGGCTGACAATGATAAGTAACTGGCTAAAGCGAACAATATCTGCTAGGGGTAGGCATGGGCTGTTACAAATAGTATCAGTCAAACACTAGATGGTGTGCCAGTGAAGACGCTGGGCTCCTAAGGGGGTGGATTGTGAGATCCCACGTCGGTTGCAGAGGACAATATCTAATATGGACTTTGTACAACTAGTGTTAAACACTTTCATTACATGTCAAAGTGTCCAAATAGTTGACATGTATTCACTACAGGTGTTCACATGACCCAATGACCCAAACAACTTAGACTACCGAACACAATCCTGAATTGAGTTATATTTCTTTTTCCTCTTGGGTTCGGTTGAATCTTTGAAAATTTTGTTTCTAGGGTTGGAACTTTTTTTAGTCGGGTTAACCTGACCAATCCAAGAATATGGTTCACAATCCAATCCCACCCTATCTTAAGATCATTGTGAACATTAAGAATGATTTTGCCGTTTAGTTGAATTGTTAAAAGTTCAAATCACTAACCAAAATTGAACATAAAATTATTAAATTAAAAACTAGAAAAGCGAAATTGAGGCATACCAAGTGTTTGATGAAATGTCTGAATGGCGAATTTCAGGTATCCGTACTGGAAATGGACGGGCAGTTCGACAGACTGGACGAACTGATCTATGTGGAAAGCCATCTAAGCAACTTGTCGACAAAATTCTACGGCGAAGTGACTCAACAGATGCTGAAGCACTCGGAGTTCCCTGGAAGCAACAATGGCACAGGCTTCTTCCAAACCATCGTCGGATTGAAGATCAGAGATCTGTACGAGCAGATTTCCGCCAGCAGGGCCAAGGCGCCGGTGGAGGCCGCAAAAGCCTGAAGTTAGGGCGTCGCGAGAGGCGTTTCTCAGTCGCCGGCCGATTTCTGGATTTGGCTTTCAATTCAAGCTTTGTGTTTATCGATCGTAATAGTCTGAGCTTCTTAGGCTGCTTTCCAATCACTTGTTGTTCTAAATTTCCTGATCGCCGGAGATTTCTGATGTAAAGAAAAAATATCCATAAAGAATCGAAAGCAGAAATGAAATGGAAATTCAAAGTTTTTGCAGAGATTGGTCTCGTTTATAACTGAATGTATATATCTATTTCTATTAAATTAATAAAAATTTATTATCACGAAATTATCGATTTTTAAAAATTTTAATATTACTAAACTTTTAAAAAATTCAAAAAATTCTTAAATTAAAAAAAAATTATTGAAGTTTCAAAAATATTATTTTAATTTAAAAAGTATTTTAAAAATAGTTTCAAAAAGTTTTTGTTAATACTTAAATATTTTTAAAAATTAAAAAACACAGTTTTTTAAAAACTTAACACATTTTAACTTTTTTTTTTTTTTTTTTAATTCAAATATACCCTTATCTTCAAAGATATGGACGGAATCACGTTTAAAAAAAAATATAGTAAAAGTTTTAATCTATATGAGATGTAGATAGACAGTTTCCATTCATATATTGATTATTAAAAGTACACTTTTACAAGTTTTAATGAGATGTTTTAATCTATATGAGATGTAGATAGACAGTTTCCATTCATATATTGATTATTAAAAGTACAATTTTACAAGTTTTAATGAGATGTAGATAGACATTTTCTATCCATATATTGGTGGTTAAAAGTACGACCGTTTCTATCCATATATTGATTTGAAAGTACAATTTCAGATATTTTTAAACATGGTATTAACAATAAAAGTATTTTTTTTTAAGTTGAAGGGTATCCTCCTACCGACGGTAAAGTATTATTTATTGAAATTATTTATAGTCTTGAAAATAAACCTTAAAATAACTCAAGATCAATTGAAATGTTATAACTCTACTGATTGTAACTTAAAACTTTAAAAATAATACTATAAAATTAAAACATACTATGAAATCGTACTTTTTGTAGCATAATTAAGATCGTACGACGTTTAAGCATAATTTAAGCATATATTTTCTTCCTTTCTATTTCTGTAAAATAAAAATAGTTACAGCACTGTCAGAACATTACATTCTAAGTATGAACTGCAGAAAAATGAAGCTTCTAAATGAATGAACTAGAAGAGCACAGAGCAGCATCTTGTTCCCTGTAAAAACTCCATGCTTCCATGATTTTCTTTATACCAGACAGCTTAGCAATGACAGTGAGCAAGAGACTGGCTTTATATCACCCAGCAATGGCAATCAAGCTTTGCCTAACTATTGGAAGTGAGCAAAGCAAAGAGCCAAAAATTCCATTCAACGCGTAGGCAATGGCGCAGAACGGTAGAGCTTCGGGTTCCTTAGCCGATAACGCTGCTGTTCCGAGCCCGTGTGCACTGAAACACGAACAAATTGTGGATCAACTCAATGGTAAACACATTAAAACTCAGTAGTAGATTCACTCTGTTTTTGGCAACAATGCCTAGCATAATGATGAACATCAATGATTTGATTTTCAAGTTTCTGTTAAACATTTCAAAGATTACTGAAGCGAGGCTATAACAAAAGTGTGGGTGAACTTGGGGAATTGAGGTATATAATCACATTGAGGAAAAAGTGTTGAGAATGGTTGGGAGAGGAGCCCACGTTGGTTAATTAAGGGGATGATCATGGGTTTATAAGTAAGGAATACATCTCCATTGGTACGAGGCCTTTTGGGATACCAAAAGCAAAATCATGAGAGCTTAGGCTCAAAGTGGACAATATCATAACATGGTATCAGAGTAATGCCTTTAACTTAGTCATGTCAATAGAATCCTCAAATCTCGAACATAGAAGTTGTGAGCTTTGAAGGTGTAGTCAAAAGTGACTCAAGTATCAAACAAATGGTGTACTTTGTTCGAGGACTCCAAAGAAGGAGTCGAACCTCAATTAAGAGGAGACTGTTTGAGGACTCCATAGGCCTGAAGGGAGGCTCTATGGTGTAATTTGTTTGAGAGGAGGATTGTTGGGAGAGGAGCCCACGTTGATTAATTAAGGGGAGATCATGAGTTTATAAATAAGAAATACATCTGACCTTTTGGGAAAACCAAAAGCAAAGCCACCAGAGCTTATGCTCAAAGTGGACAATATCGTACTATTGTGAAATTTGTGATTCCTAGATAAAAAGAATAAAGGAAATGGGATCGAGGAGAATTTGACATAATTATGAGCACGTTGTATAATATCTTATATGGGTTTCACTCCCTATGCATGAAAACAACTTGTTACTGTCGAGCATGACCGTGACACATAGCACATACCTAGAAGCAGTTGCAATTCCCCGGGCGATAGGATCGCGGAACTTCAGATTGTCAAGGGTAGCTTGGACAAAATTTGCCCCAACCAGACCAGTTACAACAACCACAGCAGCGGTGACAGATGCATTGGTGCCTACAACCAGGAAAGAATAGAAACGTCAGAAAGCTATGCTATGAACTGAGCTAGTTGAGTATCATACAGAAGAACAGCTTGAGATAACAATTATGAGCATCCAGACATGTCGCGGCTAAACATTTTGCTAACTATTTTGCATATAAAACACAGTTTCATAAAACTACAAGACGATTGTAGTTGTACGGTTGTACCTTCAAAGAATGTCACAATGCTAAGTGCCAATGCCACAGTTATACATCTTGGTAGAATGGAAACAGTTAAGTTCGGTTCTAATCCGATAAAACGTCCAACAAGAGCAGTCGAGTACAACGAGAATATGGTTGAGATAATGACAGAGGTAAAAATCTCAGCCGCATGCCTTTTAACGAGCTGCAAAATACAAGACAGATTTCAAATATAGAAATACTAATACAGTATTCCCTGCGCCAAATGTAATCCGGAGGTTCTTCATCCCTAATTTTATCATTTCCATTGTTCTTAATAAAGCTCAAATGAGAAAAGGAAAACTTTTGGAACGTAAAGTTCATTCTCATGGACATCATTATTGGATGGGAGTTTCTCTATAGCCACGATGGTATTTGTGAGACCCCACATCAGTTGGAGAGAGAAACAAAACATTTCTTATAAGGGTATGAAAACCTCTCCCTAACAGACGTATTTTAAAACCTTGTGGGAAAGCATGGAAGGAAAACTCAAAGTGGACAATATCTACTGGCGGTCGCCTCAAGCTGTTACAGTTGGTATTAGAGCCATACACCGGGCGACGTGCCAGTGAAGACACTTGTCCCCCTAAAGAGGGTGGATCCGAGATCTCACATCGGTTGGAGAGGGGAACAAAACATTCCATATAAGAGTGTGAAAACCTCTCCCTAACATATGTGTTCTAAAATCTTGAGGAGAAATTTGGAAGAAAAAGTCCAAAGAAGACAATATCTGCTGGTGGTAACTTTGTATTGCCCTTACCAGCCAAAAGAAAACTTCACTTAAATTCATTGAATTAGGTTTTCTAAGATCAAACCATGTTGTTCACAAACAGGAAGTTCAACTCATTGAATGTGATCAATAAGAAAGCGAATTACCTCTCTCTGTTTGAACATTGAGAAAGCAAAGGAGAGGATAACAGATCCCAAAAATCCCATTAGAATATCACCAGCTCCAGGGTTAGATGATACCTTTGTCAAATATGAAGCTGAAATTTTATAGATTAACAGTCATACAAACATTATTTGCATAATAGTGAGATACGAACTATAAAACTCAGTGCACAAAAAGAGTGAACTCAAGGATCCATCTACATAAGTCATAATCTAAATACAGTGTGGTATATGTGAGATCCCACGTCAGTTGGAGAGGAGAACGAAGCATTCTTTATAGAGGTGTGGAAACCTCTTTCTAGCCGACGCGTTTTAAAACCTTGAGGAGAAGCCCAGAAGGGAAAGTCCAAAGAGGACAATATCTGCTAGCGGTGGGCTTCAGCTGTTACAATATAGAAACTATATTTTTTTCGTATTCTAACACCAACTCCATGGGAGGACAAGGGAGAAACTTTCAAAAGTTTTACATGAAATCAATTTAAGAAACAAATAGTTAAGCTGCAATCTGCTACTTATTGAACTGTCAACTAAAGAGAGAGATCAAAACGTAGCAACTATCTTGAAACAGTAGATTATACCTAGAATTGGATCAAGCCCAGTGCGGGAGAGGTATCCAAAAGCCAGTGCAGCAAGATCAGCAGAGATTGCACAGCAGATGATTGGGTGGAAAACTGTCTTAACACTGCCTGGTAAACTGACAATCATATATCAAAAAACTATTAGATGCAAAGTACAAGAAGTAAAACCCATATAAGAATAGTAAAAGGGTATTTTATCCTTTTCAGCTTTCTTCAGCTAAGGATAATAGAACTTTACTTAGAACCCACAATGTAGCCTAACACGGTCGAGGCGAGGAGAAACGGAAGGAATGTTCGAGCACTTGTCCCTAGTGCTGTTGGATAAAACAAAGCAGCAACAAATGCCACCAGAAAAATTCCAGTCCAACTCCACATTTCAACTGAAGAAAAGGGAGATGGTTTTTTCATCGGCTTAGCATCAATCATTTCCGTTTTCACAACATTTCTAACAGCTATAGCCATATATCCTGCAACACACAGAGTAGCTAGCCAACCGACAGCTGCAAAGAACCAACGAATAGAAGAGGGTCAGCCTTTAAACTGAAACTCAAACATCCACAGAGGGGAAGAGAGAAAAAGTGGTAGACGATTATCAATAGTTTACACAGAAACTAGTCCATGCTTACATATGTGAATTGAGAACTGAAACAAAAACATATTTCATGCTCAAAAGGGATTCCATAAAGATGTTAACAGCAGGCAAACAACTAAATTTTAGCTGGCCCCAAAGCTCAACTTGTGAGATCCGAAACGGTTGGGGAGGAGAACGAAACACCCTTTATAAGGGTGTGGAAACCTCTCTATAGCAGACGCATTTTAAAGCCTCGAGGGAAAGCTCGAAAGGGAATGCCCAAAGAGGACAATATCTGCTAGTGGTAGGCTTATGCCGTTACAAATGGTATCAGAGTCAGACACCAGGCGATGTGCCAGCGAGGAGGTTGAGCACCTGAAGGGGGTGGACATTAGTCGATGTGCCAGCAAGGACGCTGGGCCCCGAAGGGGGTGGATTTGGTGGGGGTCCCACATCGATTGGAGAAAGGGACGAGTGCCAGCGAGGATGTTGGGCCTCGAAGGGGGTGGATTCTGAGATCCCACGTTATTTGGGGAGGTGAACGAAACATCCTTTATAAGAGTGTGGAAACCTCTCCCTAGCAAACGCGTTTTAAAGCCTTGAGGGGAGGCCCAACGAGGACAAAATGTGTTAGCGGTGGGCTTGGGCCATTACAAGAGACATAAAAAGTTTTCTTTATTAAGCTCACTTGAAGATTCGAACACGGGACCTTAAGTAGGAGTTAGTTTTACTCAAAAACACAGAAATCACAAAACATTAAGTGGATAGGAGTAACCAAGCAACCCCAAATGACATGTAAGGCTCGTTTAAGATTTTCTTAATCAAATTCTCACAGTTGAGATGCCATAGACGATAACAAATTCAGTACCTATTATGAAACAAATTTTGATCCCAGACGCCGCAGGGATGTCCTTCACAGACAAAGGCAAAATAACCAAGGATGGAACATAGAACAAAGGAAGCCACCTCTGAATAAACAAGAGAGCTGGTTCAAAGAAGTTCATAACACCGGTAGCAGCAGAAGGAACAGTAGAATCAAGAACCAACAGAACAGAAAAGATACAAAACATCCCAAACAACGCACTGGGAAACTTAATCGCAGCAGCCACAAAAGCCCCTTTCAAGAGATTATCAATCGCAAGAATAATTCCAAGAGAAGCAACCAAATGAATTACCCCAAACACCTACAGAGCAAAAACGAAAAATCACACAATACAACAAAATCACGATCCGAAACCTCAAAGAAAAAAGAACCAAATCCATCTTCTAATGCTTACACTTTGACAGAGAGAGGAAGAAGTGGTAGCTCCATCCGCGGCGGCCGATTTCAGAAGACCTTGTCTGAAAGTAGGCAGAGTTTCTGAAGACTCCATAGCCAGAAATCTTCGATCGGAACAGGGGACTGTGAAGAGGATTCTGTTTAATTCAGTGGGAGAGTGGGATTTATGAACAGCTCGAGAGCTGCGATTGAAAGGAATTGGAGATTTTTTGGAATTGGACGGACGAAATTGAGGCCATGGATTCGAATGGATTGCGAGAGGGACTGATGGATGGAGGAATTTGGAAAGAGAGAGGGATGAAAATGAAAGACGAGGAGTGGCGGAGGAGGCCGCCATGGAAATGTGTGTCGCAGAGACTGAGAAGCTGCGGGAAGTCGTTGAGTGGCCGTTGATGAATCAGAGGATGGACCGCACTCAGATCTTTATGATTTGACATGTGTCTTCTTTCACCGAAGGAGATGATCAAGTGTTGCCGTTTGTATCCTAACTTTGGTCCGTAATTTTTACTCCCCGCTAATTTTGGTAAAAAGAAAAATGGTATAGAAATCTTCATAGTAATAAAAAAAAAACTTGTCAAGAGACTTTACCTAAATGGTCAAAATACAATAATGGGACTATGTTGCTCGTGTGCCGTGCCGTGTCGAGTGATTTTATACATATTCGAATTGGTCGAGTTGATCTGCAAATCGGATCGAATCTTTTATTTTTCTAAAATTTAACTAAACACAATGTTTATGATTTAAGTTGGGTAGTTCGTGTGGGTCGGGGTCAATGGGATGATTATAATAAATAGATATATCACAAAAAAAACTCTAGATGAGTTCGGAGATAATAAATTTTCCTGAATCAACCGCTAATAACAACAATATTTACAAGTGTATTTCTGACACATTCACCCTATAAAGTCTTGTTTATGAAATTACTCCTAATTGACTCTAGTCAAATATAAATTATAAATATTGGGTTGGGTTCGTTAGATTTTTTCGCGTTAGGTTGGATTAAATTTTTTATTTGTACATGAATTGACACATTTTTAGTCGAGCCAACCTAACCAATACAAAAATATGGTTGTACCACAACTCTACTTTTAAAAAGATTAAGAATATTTAACGTTTATGATAATGATGCACGGTAACATATAACTCACTAATATTTGAACTTTACGAGATTTTAGTTATGAATGTAACATATAGTAAAAATAAGATTTTTTTTTTAATTGGATTGTGAACTCTATCCAAGTTGCTCGGGTCACCAACTCAATCAATCCAAAATTTTAGGTTGGTCCAAAAAAATTTTCCTAACCCAATCAAACTCAACCCGTGTACACCCTACACTGAACACCTTTTAAACTTATTAGCACACATTTTCAAACCTAAAGACCAAACTAACCTAAACTCGAGTAAACTTTCCACAAAGTTCTAAAAATGAGGATTTTAGAACCGAAGTGGAAACACAAACTTTAGTTCATAAACTTATTAAAAGAATCAACGACTAAACTAAAAATTTAAACGACCGACACAAAATCGAAAATTTAAAAACCCGAGTAGATACCAAACCAAAGCTCGCCTTTCAAACTTATTAAAAGAATGGAGGATAAGGTTGGTAATAGGGAATCGTCGCAACTAGCACAAATCTTACTTCCTTATGGACAGCACACAGCCAAAATATTAAGGAATAGAAGGAAGAACAATGGGATATTATCTCAGAGTTTAGAAGGCAAGTGCTTCCCCAGTTCCTTACGCAGTACTTTGCCAGCAGCAGATTTGGGTATTGATTCTGTAAACACCACTTTTCTGATCTTTTTATATGGCGCAACCTGTAAGAGCCCAGAAATGGTACCAGAAATTCATTGTGGGGTTTACATTTCTTGCATTTTTAGTGCTGAAAATGGCATGGATTTCAAGTATGGCAAACCTGTTGAGCAACATAATCGATGACATCTTTCTGTGAGAGTGAGCTTCCTGGCTTTTTCACCACAAATGCCACTGGAATCTCCCCACATTCTTCATCTTCGGCCCTGTAAAAAGAAAACCGGAAAAGGATCGACGTCGGTTTTCTTTAGAGTAAAATACCATTTTGGTCCATATATTGAGTTTCATTCTATTTTAGTCTCGGTATTTTTAAATGATCGAGTTTAGTCTTTTCATGAATCTTGTTCTATGTTTGAGTGTTCGTGTTTCGTAGTTGCCAATCGTAGTTCATAATTATCCTGAACATGTGGAGATAACCAGCTTCCTTCTTTACTAGACAAAACACATATGGGACTTTGTTCCTTTCTCAATATGAGATCCGATATCAGTTGGAGAGGAGAACAAGGCGTAGAAACCTATTCCTAACATATATATTTTAAAACTTTGAGGGGAACTCCAGAAGAGAAAGCCCTAAAAGAACAAGATCTACTCGCAGTAGGCTTGGGCTGTTACAAATGGTATCAGAACAGTCGAGTTTTAGGTCCTATAGACTTTGTTTTTGGTAAAGTATCGTATATCTCTATGACTCACCTTGACACGACCCATCGAAACCAGGTATGTTATCTAAAGTTGTATAGCAGAATAAGTCTTGCGCAGATGTATCATGAAAGTCTTATCACCGTGATGGGCACTTACTACTCTTGATAGAATGACATTCAAGGGTACGTAGTAACCTAAGTTGTTGTGTTTTGATAGATTATGGCTTCAAAAAGGAGAGGGGAATGAAGCACTCTTATACTTTATAAGAGTGTAGAAATTCCTTCCTAGCAGATGCATTTTAAAATCTCGAGGGGAACCTCGAAAAGAAAAGCCTAAAGAAGACAATATCAAAAGGCGTGTTTAGAAGAATACTTACGCAGCTACTGCAGTATCAAGAACTTCTGGATGTGTGATCACCACTGATTCCAAATCAGTAGGAGCGATCTACAAAAGAACATATAACCAAATTTATCATTATTACTCATAAATTTCGTTTTGAACAACACTAGATGCGATGAATATCAATTATATTTTACAAATAACAATTCTATAAAAGTGCACTTCCATTATCAAAAAAATTTGGAAAAGACAGTGTTAAAAAAGTTTATTTCCTGTGCAGAATTCACAAAGTTCTTTAATTATTTGACATATCACAAGATCTAACGGGAAAAAATGTTCTCTGCTCTCTCCCTATTCCTTGTCAAAACGGAAAATTTTCTCTGTTTGGGGCGGGTGTCTGCAGGTAAAATGAACATCCCTAATCACAAGCACGAGTAGAGCTTGTGGAGAATTCACAAAGTTCTTTCAAGTATTGACACATCACAAGCAGAGATGTCTACGGGGTGGGGACCTCATTTATCTAACAGGAAAAAAAATGTTCCTTACTCCCTCCCCATTTCCCATCTAAATGGAAAATTCCCTCTCCGTTCGGGGCGGGTCCTCGAATAAAATGAACATCTCTAATCACAAGCAGAGATGTTTACGGGGTGGGGACCCGATTTATTTAACAGGAAAAAAATGTTCCTCACTCCCTCCCCATTCTTCGTCTAAATGGGAAATTCCCTCCCCGTTCGGGGCGAGTTCTCGCGAATAAAATAAACATCTCTAGTCACAAGCACGGGTAGAGCGAAGGAACAGGACTTAAAGGTTAAATTTTTTTCGAAATTATCTAACTTTAGTTGGCTGAGGAGTTAAAATTTCAGTCTAGACTTGCAGGAGACTCATAAGCTTAAGTAGTATATCTTTAACGAAGTAGAAAACATGAAAGTATCGATCACTGTTCTGTACCTGAAAGCCCTTATACTTTATAACCTCCTTCAAACGATCAACAACATACAAGTATCCATCTCGGTCAAAGTAGACGATGTCTCCAGTATGTAGCCAATTTTCTTGGTCTATTGTGGACATTGTTGCCTCGGGATTATTCAAGTACCCTGTAAAGGCCAAAAAAACGAAAGGAAAAAAACCGATATATCAACAGATGAAGCGTAAACTTCTGGGTTAATGGTAGTTTAACAAGATCTTAGGACAGTTTTAGAAAGAATCCTTCAAACCTTTCATTAAACCAGGTCCGCGTAACAAAAGTTCGCCGGTTTTACCAGGCGGCATGATAGATCCGCTAACCCAATCAACAACTTTAGCTTCCATGTTTGGTGCTAAAAGTCCAACAGACAAATAATTTTGAGCCTTTTTGGTATTGAAGCCACGGGTGCCTACGGCTGTGGTTTCAGTCATGCCATATCCCTAACAATGAATACACCAAATTCAAGCATGTTTAAACTATCAATATTCTAAGCTAAAATTCATCAGTTCCAAATAAGACTGTAACATCACAAATCCAATATGTATCGCGCCAGTCTCACGGTTTTTAAAACGCGTCTATTAGGAAGAGGTTTTCATACCCTTATAAGAAATGTTTCGTTCCCCTCTCTAACCGATGTGGAATCGCACCATCCACCCCCCTTGGGGACTAGCGTCCTCGCTAGCACACCGCCCGGTGTTTGGCTCTGATACCATTTATAACATCACAAACTCACCGCTAGCAGATATTGTCTACTTTGGCTCGTTACGTATTACATCAGCCTCACGATTTTTAAAATGCGTTTACTAGGGAGAGGTGTTCACACCCTTATAAGGAATGTTTCATTCCCCTCTCCAACCGAGGTGGGATCTCACAATCCACCCTCCTTAGGGGCCCTGCATCCCCGCTAGCAAACCGCCTGGCTCTGATACCATTTGTAACATCCCAAATCCATCGTTAACTGATATTGTCCACTTTGGTCCATTACATATCGCCATCAGCTTCATGGTTTTTAAAACACATCTACTAGGAAAAGGTTTCCAAACCATTATAAGGAATGTTTCGTTCCCGCTCTCTCACCGATGTGCGATCTCACAATCTACCCCCCCTTGGGAGCCCAACGTCCTCACTAGCACACCACCCAGTGTTGGACTCTGATACCATTTGTAACATCCCAAACCCACAACTAGTAGATACGGTCCGTTTCGGCCTATTACATCTCGCTGTCGGCTTCACAGTTTTCAAAACGCATCTACTAGAGAGAAGTTTCCACACCCTTATAAGGAATGTTTTGTTCTCCTCTCCGGTCGATGTGGGATCTCACAACTTGTTAAGACTGAATGATGTAATTAGAAGTCGGCTAGACTTAGACACAGTTTATGATCATCCACAAGTAGATTATTCCCAGAGCCCATCATAAACAGAATTGGCTAAACGTATGAAAGAGTCAGTACCTGAATGAAGTCAACATGAGGGAGAGCCTGCACAAAATCCCCTATGATCTTCTTACTCAAAGAAGCAGCCCCACAAGAAACCTGTTTCAAACTACGAAATTTGTGCCCACCAAATTTCACTGCAGTCCTAGCCATAACTATCATTATTGGCGGAACAACAGGAAAATGTGTAACTTTAAATCTATCAATGGCCACGACCACCTCTTTGACATCGAATTTGCTCATTACAACAATACTAGAACCCAATGACAATAATCCCATCACAAAAATGGAGAGACCATACACATGAAACATTGGTATAGCAGCCAAATACACATTCTCTGTAGTCAAATACTCATACTGCGAAGCTTCAAACCGAACAAAAAGCTCGACCGTAGATATAAAGTTTCTATGTGTCAACAGAACCCCTTTGCTCACTCCAGTCGTACCAGAAGAAAACAATATAGCAGCTGTATCTTCCTGTCTAATCACAGGTCTTTTATTCAAATCAAAACCACCTGAAATAAGCTCATAAAAAGAAGAAAATCCCATAGGCCTCATTAAGTCCAAATTCGTATTTTCTGGTACTCCAATTGCCTGAACTCCAAATGCTTCAAAGTTCCCAACATTCTGTGGTGTTGCAAAAGCCAGCCGCACATTGCATTCACTGATTCGTTTCTTGATTTCTTGAGAACTGCTTTGAGGAAACATGGTTGTAATAACAGCTCCCAAATACAGCACACCCAGAAGAACAATGGGATAGAAAATGGAATTTGGTAACAGAAGCAAGACTACATCCCCTTGTGAAACACCCAATTTTTGGAGCCCAGAAGCCATGGAATTCACCATACGATACAATTCCCTGTAAGATATTGAATGTCCAGTGGAGGAATCAATGAGAGCTGAACGACCATTGTGTTGGAAGGAGAGGATATAAGAGGCAACATCAAGAAATGGATCAGTGGGCAAGTCTCTAGAGGCATGTACACTACGACAAATTCCTGTATCTGGTGAATACCAGCCAGGATACTTGTTGGGGATTTTTTTAGTCTGGACAGTCTGACTTTCTGGCGTTTGAAAACTGAACTGATCGTTTAGCAGTGGTGCCATTGTCCTAAACTGAAAAAGAAAAGAACAAACAACAAAACAAAATCAATCAAGGTTCAGAAACAGATCTCAAACCTGAACTACAATGAAAAAGACCATTTTGTTATTACATATCAGGTTAGAGCTCAGCAGTAAACTTGGTATCCCAATGAAGAACTTGCAATACCATGCCGTCCTCTAAGTAGTGCAGAAGTCAAACTCTATATTATAAATGAATTTTCAGTAAGTAGTGAAATTCATAATCAGACACTCAATCCCCTACTTGGCTCTAGCTAGAGTTGATAGGCTCGAATCAACCACCTTTTTGGACCATTTAATTTACTGAAAATATTCCTAATTATATACTATTGTTCTTCTATTTTATATGATACCATAATTAAAATAGAAATAGTATGAAAATTTGCTAATACTCAAAAAAATTTCCCATGAGATTTGATTGATGCTTACACGTTACATAGATCAATAAATTTGTATTAAATTAACTTATAAATTAACTTATATGACTACTCCCCCACACTTTAGAACTCAGATTATTTTGGTAACAGCTCAAGCCCACCGCTAGCAAATATTGTCCTCTTTGAGCTTTTTCTTTTGGGTTTTCCCGCAAAGTTTTTAAAACGCATGTGTTAGGGAGAGGTTTCCACACCCTTATAAAAAATGTTTCGTTCCCCTCACCAACCGGTGTGGGATCTCATATCATAATCCACCCCCCTTCAGGGCCCAGTGTCCTCGTTGGCACTCATTCTCCTCTCCAATCGATGTGAGATCTCACAATCCACCCTTGCGGAGCCCAGCATCCTAGTTGGCATTCGTTCCTCTCTCCAATCAATGTGAGATCTCACAATCCATTTCCCTTCGGGACCCAGCATCCTAATTGGCATTCATTCCTCTATCCAATCAATGTGAGATCTCACAATCCAGCTCCCT